GATCAGTGATGGTATTGACATTTTCTTCCCCCTTATTTACATAAAGACCCTTGGATCATAAAACCTTAGGAGTGAAGATGGTGAAAGTTGTGGAACTTAACCGACTTATAGATTATGGTTATTAATAACAACAACAGTAAAGACAATAAATGCTGTATTTATAGGTTGGCATAGTAGCTGGCTTTGGGAGAGTCCACCTTTTGCAACTGTATCTTACTTTTCTCTATTTAGTGAAAATAAACTCATTTTTCAACTGAAGAGGCCATGCATTTTTTTCTTCCTCATACTTTTAAAATGTGTCACATAGGAAGGTACAGTTTTGATTTACGGCAGCTAAAGAGTCTAGTGTAGTGGCTACAAACACCACCTCCCAAATCAGGAGCTGAATCTTACTAGCTGTTGACCTTGGCAAGACTTGGTTTCCTCACCTACAATAGGGTGGGTGTAAGAAATCAGGAATTAAAATGTGTCAAGTACATAGAATAGCACCTAGCAGATGGCATGCACTGTTTAAATGTTAGCTATTTTTGTTAGCTGCTTTACCAATAATCATGTCGTCAGCTTTATTACTATCTCCATGTGTGGTGGTAGATATTGATTGAATCAAAATATAATTTCATGAGAATCGGGAAGATTAAATCTTGATTTGCATTTTTTTATTAAAAAAATCTTTATTGTTAAAAGTATTACGGATGTCCCCCTTTTCCCCCATTGACTCCTCTAGCCTATCCCTGCTCCCACCCCTTCCCCAGGCCTTCACCACTCTATTGTCTGTGTCTGTGGGTTATGTATATATGCTTTGGATAATCTCTTCCCACCCACCTACCCACCCACCCCCACCTTCCCTCTGAGATTTGACAGTCTGTTCCTTGCTTCTATGTCTCTGAATCTATTTTGTTCATCAGTTTATTTTATTCTTTAGATTCCACATATGAGTGAGATCATGTGATATTTTGGTGCCACCTGTGCTTCGGTGCTTCCCCACCCTCCTTTGGCCCCTTCTAGTTGAACCTGTGACTCAGTTTCCAATATGGATTTCAAGTTTGCCACAGAAGTTTTGTTGCCCTACTTACTTGATTCCTTAATTGACTAAAATTTGAAGGAGAAAAAAATGAAACTCAGGCCACTCAGAGCCGATCTTAATTCCACCAGAGAAGTTTCCGTTCAGTGTTTGCCCGCAATCTGCTGGATCTCAAGCGACCAGTGCTTCCACCCAGCCAGGCAGAGCCATCCATCAGGTGTTTGGAAGGACTGTCAGGTTTTGGACAGGTGCTGTTCTTCATCAGCACAATCTCCTGTGATCCTTACTTATCAAGCACTGAAAGGTTTTCTTGGCTTATAGCCATCATTACCTTGGATATCTTTAGAGTGCTTTTTTTTTTTTTAAAAAAAAAAAAAAAGCAACTTTTACTCCTTTTTCTTTTTTGGAGGGCGGGGGGAGGTGACTAACTTGAATCTGTGAAGCTAGTCTCTAGTTTACATATGCGAATTATTTGGACCACGTTTATTAATACTGGGTATATGTTTATAAAAGTAATTTTTCTTGAAGCTGTGACACTAGGTTCTTTTAAAGATTGAATCAGTACACTTTTGATAGATGTTACTAAGCATTTATGTCGGTGCTTAAATAGTAGTAAGAAAAGGCAACATGAATCATTGCAGCTCATTTTGCAATAGAAAATCAGTGCCAGAGGCCATATTTCTTTCTTTCTTTTTCTTTTCTTAAGCATGTATTTATATGTGTGTTTTTTTGAGAGAGAGGAAGAGAGAGGGAAAGAGAGGAACATCAATTGGTTGCCTCTCATATACACCCTGACTTCGGATCGAACTCACCAGCCAGGGCTGCCAGAGGCCATATTTTAACAATCATGTTTGTGCAATGAACGGATTAACTAGAATGATCACTATTAAATATGAAACACTATCGATAAGGCATTCAATTAAAATGTACAGATTTTATGTTACTATTTAATTTCCACACTGGTCATATTGCCTTCCATATTTAAGCTCCATTTCATCATGTGGTTCTTTCAGTAAGATCACATTCAGAAAGATCAGAAGAGAGGGACAGGAGGAAAAGGTGAACACATTACTTGGGGAAAATGAGCATGTATTAAGAAAGGCAATGTAATTGAAAATTATACCTCCCTCATTCATTACCTGCTGTGTCCCATCTCCAGATCACCTCACTCTCCCTGGCCTTTCTTTGGCCTCTGATGAGTTTACTCAACACCACCTGCCTTGGTCCTCTCTCCTCTCCAGACTCTGTACTCTGCTAGTTCTTCTTTTGAGCCCATAACTGTTCATTTCCTGATTTCTTAGAAAGCATGATCAATAAATCTTCACGCTATTATTGAATTTTGTTATTTTGTTGGTGAATTCTATGGATAGATTTTCTGATGTTAAGGTTTTCTGAGCCATCCTTGTTTTTCTTAATTAAACCTATCACATATGAAAATGTGTGTGTATATGTATGATATGCTAATATTTAGCTGTGTTCTTAAAATGAGATGGCCCATAATTTTTCTTCCTCATAATGCCCTTGTCTAGCCTTATTATCAAGATTATCAAGATCATAATAGCCTCAAAACTGCAGAAATAAGAGCTTTGACTAATCTCTGAAATAATTTATATAAAATTGGAATTATATGTTTCTTCAGGAATTGGTAAAACTTAAATGTAAAACTGAGCCTGTAGCCCTTTCTGACATACTGTGCTTGGGAGTTTATTATATGTTTTGTTTGGGTGTTTGAAACTCTAATAACAAAAGGGTGTGATGAACAGTATTTTAATGCGGGGACTATGCATATTCTTATAGGTTGAGGGGAAGGGGCATTATAACAGGAGGGTTATCGGAGGATACAAGAGGTAATTTAGGGTTAGGGTCAAAGACCAGGGAAGAGAATGGATTGAAACCAAGTTGCAGGGACTGATCGTCCAAAAGAGGACAGAGCGTGATGATTCTGATCCTACAGGAGAAGTTGAGGCGATAGGTATAGATGCAGGTATTTTTCAGTTAGACAGATGGGTTCGTAGGAACTTTGTCCAAAGGTCCTCATGGGACCCAGTGAGTAAGAAGGCTCTGTGATGCACAAAGTTGAGCTAGACAGACCCTGTGGAGGAATGCGCATTAAAAAATCAAACACGGACAAAATATGCAGATTACCCAACGTGGATGTAGTACTAACCATAAAAATATACAGCTTTAATGGGAAGCTAGTTAGCAATTTAAATAAGGAAAATTGAACAATATTGACAGAACTATATGCTGTTAACTCATTTTCACCTCTTTGCATGACTTCTTGTATTATTTTAATATTTTAGGAAGTAGTGTAACCATTGCTCAATATGGGATTTAAAACCTGAAATATGTCTTTATCCTTTTTTTGGTCACTCTCATTCAATTCTTTTAAATGAAAATAAAGATAACTGCATGGGAAAGGAGTTAACTCAAATCTTTCCTTCCCTTTTACCTAAGCCCCAAATCATCTCTCCTTTCTACGTATGAATACTTCCTGTAACGGTATAACTACCTGCATTTATAAATACTGTGTTTAAGGGAGATTTTAGCACTAGTTCCCTAACTGGATTAATAAACTCCTAGAAGGACTGTTTATTAATAAATTTTTATAGTTTCAGTGCCTTTTATATACTTTGCTATAAATAAGTACTTTGTTTCAATTGACTTGCTTATAAGATGAAAAGTTTATATAAAGTACTAAAAAAAACCCAAGATACCATATATATATATATATATATATATATATATATATATATATATATATATATATGAAATTTTCAAAAACCACATACCAGTCTCTACTTAACTCAACCTTGGTTTCCTTTAACAGAATAGAACTTTCAGTTTGTCATTTCCCCCCACAATAACTGATAACAGAGAAATACCATGTTTGTTATATAAAGCTATTACTTGAAAATAATCCATCTCATTTGCATCAACAAAGGCATTTTTATAGGACATGTTATAGGACATGCGTATATTCCTATATTAGATCTGTTTTTAGCATCTGCTTTTGCTGAAGGACATTTTTCCTGTGCTGCACATTTTTCCCTTGAACCAGTAATTTTGTTGATTTGACAGTTATTATGTGCCTATTTAGTCAGCGTGATAGCACTCAAAATGTTTAATCCCAGAAAAAGAGACAATCAGATGACATGGCTAATTGTCAGGGATGATGGTAAGGTATGGCACAAATGGCAGGTGAATCAATGCATATTTTTTCAGTGTCAGAAATGAGCTAATGAAATTTACTAGAATGGCCCGTGAAACACCATTGTAGCCATTTTCAAATACTGTCATTTTATAAGAATAGCACTCTGGGCTGGAGGCCATTTAATAGGATTTAACAGTGCTTATAAAACACACACACACACACACACACCAAAACAAACATTGTCTCTAGAGAGAAGCTGTTTCCTGATTTCCCTTAGAAAGAAAAATGCAGATGAGGCCTGGAAATAACTGGGGACCTCTCATGTAGGAAAGGCAAGTCTAATCATGGGGCCAAAGTAGAAACCCAAGGGAAGGGATCTGGAACTTCTACTTTGAAATAAGGCAAATGGTGCTCCAAATGGTGTTTGTCCTTGTTCCGATGCAGGGCTTTGGTGATTTCTCCAAGTCTTCAGCTCTTTCCTGTCAAGTTGCAGAGGAAATGGTCTTTTCTGTGAATGCTCTGTTATTTTCTGCCCAGCCAGAGCCAGTGGGAAAATGCACATCTGGCTTGTAAATCACCGCCAGGCGTTGATGCCTCGCTCACTCTTTATTGGGTGGCTGTCCTTTGCGCTTTATACACTCTCAGTGTGGATTGTGTGACCTCCTGATGGAATCCTCCAGTGCCCCCCTCCCCCCAGGGTCACATCGGGGGACCTTTACATCCTCTCTGAAATGTAATGTTTGCTACCTGAAGTGCACTCTCTGTGGTCCCCAAAAGAAAAATCATTCATTTTTACCTTTTCATTTATTTATTTTTCCTGTTTAGAAATTGGCCCCTGGTTACGGGAGTTCAGAGTGAAGAATGCTGTGGATTTCTCGCAGTTAACATTTGACCCAGGACAGAAAGAACTTGTTGTAGGAGCAAGGTGAGAGATCTAACGTTTTGCCACCACACGTATTTCCGGACTTCATTTTACGTCTGTGCTAGTTACACATGAGCTGCTCTGCCAGAGGTGATGAGTGCTAAGTAATAATTCTTCTATGTATGAAATACAGTGTGAGTGTCATAAAGCAGTCTACTAATAGTAGGATCACTCCTGCTTTTTACAGCAAGTGTTCATTGGGCCTTCCCCATGTGCCAGGAACTGTTCTAACATGAATTCATTCACTTTTTCCTCCCATGAATCCCGAGAGGTAGGTATTGTAAGTATGGTCAACATCCGTATTTTAGAAATGAGGAAATTGAGGTAGGAAGTGGATAAATACGTTGCTTGGGGCATGTTTATTGTGTCTGATAATAGATGGACCCAGGTTTTAGACCCTCCAGGCAGGTAGGCTCCAGAAAGCATGTTCTCAACTTCTCACTAGATTCCTCAGTAAAACTGTAGAGATCAAGAGACCATAATGTCCACTCTGGCCCATGTTACCTTTTTGTGTGACCATGATGAGGCTATTTAACCGCCGACTGGGAATTCAAGGAAGTTGTTACTCTTTATATCTCTTAAGGTGCACAAGTTCCTATATTCAGGTCAACATTTGACATTCCAGTTTGACATCAAGGCCACTAGAACACAGACAGCACAGATCTTGAGTTTTCCCCTCAAACTTAGCATGATTTCCTTAGAAAACAGACATAATCCGAGCATTCAAAACGTCTGTTCTTGTCAGAGTATTTTGAGGATGATGTATTTAAAAAACACTGTAAGCATCTTTTAGGAAAAGTGGCATTGAGCTTGAAGAAAGAGGTAATTTGTAGATTTGGACTCTTCTGGAATCTAAGCAAAGTATTTTTGGACAGTGAAGTGCTCATCTCTTTTGCCCAAATTTACTAGATTATAAAACATACTTTTCACAGCGAGAGAGGTTGTTCAGTTTCCACATAGACCTGAGTGAAGCTAAATCTGACAAGTTCTGGGCACTATAGATAAACATTGGACATATGGCATTGTTGTTTTTGCTGTCAGATCTTAAGGAACCCTTGTACATCCACCCAATACTTGAAAACATTAAGACGTATGGTTCTAACTTTAAATTAATAGACAGAAGTGGGTTTAATTCCTGACACTGAACATGTCACCTGCATTTCTTTATGTTTGTGCATAGACAGCGGACTGGATGGGCTCACTTGGTGTGCTTTTGCTTACTCCAGCCATTGCTAATACTTGGTGGATTTCTGATGCTGATTTCCATGGAAATTCATCACTGGAAGCCTGAGCTCTTTATTGCAGGGATTTTTAACTGATTTGCTGGCCTCCAGATTTTCTCTTCCTTCTACATACCATGGCCAATGTCATCTTTTAAAATATCTGCTTCCAATAGCTCCCACTGGATAAACCTTGGCTCTTTGGTGTGGTGCACCAGACACTCTGCCTTGTGGTCCCAAATCACTTGTTTTTCTCATTATTTATGTTACCCAAAAAGTAAAAAGTTCTCTTTCTTGCCTCTGGGATTTGGTTACTTTCCTGGAATATTAGCTACCCATCCAACCCACCGCAAGTTATCTACTTGGTGAACTTGGAGTAAAGATCTGGCTCCAGGCTTCTTCATCTGGCCTGACCTGTTACATTCCTTGCTCTGTGTGGTCTTATTAGAATTCCTGTTAGATGACATCTGTCATCTGCCTTCATTAGTTCACTTAATGCATTATTTCTTGTCCAGTGTCCTCCACCCCTTGTGATCAGATAGTGACTTACCAATGGAAAGAGGATGTGTCTCTTGTGTTGCTCTAGAACAGCGGTTCTCAACCTGTGGGTCGCAATCCCTTTGGCAGTTGAACGACCCTTTCACAGGGGTTGCCTAAGACCATCCTGCATATCAGATATTTATATTATGACTCATAATAATAGCAACATTACAGTTATGAAGTAGCAATGAAAATAATTTTATGGTTGGGTCACAACATGAGGAACTGTATTTAAAGGGCCAGAAGGTTGAGAACCACTGCTCTAGAATATAGCAATTTCTCATCCCGGTAAAAACTCAGAGATGTCTGTTGTTTCAATGTACATATTTCCAGGATTTGATTTGTATGTGCACCCCTCTGCACCTGGAGGAAACTTAAGGGAAAAGGGGTATGGGTTGAAGCAGATTCATTCCAGATACCTACATTTTGGCAAGGACACAAGCTAGTGGCAGCCCCTAAGCCTCAAAACTAACCCAATGGAAGATGAGCTCTTTCCCTTAGCCACAAGGGAAACAGCCCCCGTTCTGGGACAGCAGGTGCAAATATGACCTCAACTGGTATAGCTGGCTCAAAATCCCTCATGTAACTATAAAGAACTTTAGAAAAGGTTTTCTTGTGAGCTTGACTCAAAAGACACTCCATCAACTCCATCAATTCTGGAGATTGAATAGGTTGCACCACACGTATGCATATACTTTGCCAGAGGTTGACATTTGGTCAATGGCTCATGATGTTCTAATGAATATGAGAAGCCACTGAGCAAAATGGAACTTAGAACAGATATCTCATGGTCCCTCTAGGCTAGAAACAGTTCCCGGGAATTGTTCCCAAGGGACACCTATCCTTGAATGTCTCAATCCTAGTGACTGTGGAGGTTTTCATCTCAGTGTCCTGGAGGTCAGCATCCCAGCATCTCTGAAGATCTCCATCCCAATTTTCCTGGAGGTCTTCCTCCTAGTGCCCTGAGAAATATCCATGCTAGTGTTCCTGGAAGTCTTCATCTACCTCTTCTCACTACAGCCACAGCCCGGCCACACCAGGAGGGACTGGACTAGTCACTGAGTCAACCTAGAATGCAGTATGACATGGAGACCAGGAGCAATAGGATGTCCAAACTTAGCACATAAAAGTCCAGGATATGCAGTTAAATTTGAATTTCAGATAAGCAATCCTAGGACATGGGCTGCATTTTCTATTCTAGTACAGTGCATAGCACATTGTAGACACTCCATAAACAAAAGAAAGGATAGCCAGGACTTGCTTAGCTGTGTGACCTTGAGCCCATTTCAGAGTCTAATTTTCTCATCTTTAAAATTGATATAATTATTTCTATTCCTTTCAGCTGTTGTGAGGATTAAATGAAATAATGCATGAAAAGTGATTGTCACAATAACAGGCACCCAGTAAGCATGCAGTGGTGGGGCACTCTGTAGCTATTTATGGAGTCTGGCATACATGTGCATATATATTTTGGCCGATATCACTGAGTAAGAATAGGAATTTTACCTAGAAGACCTGCTGGGATTAGGCTCAGAATGTTTGGGAAGGAGTGTGAGCCAATTTTAAAACTTTAAAAATAATCCAGCCCTCAGATTCCTGTTTGGGAGGGCTTTGACCTAACAAAAAAAGTTTAGGTAGCAGGTGTATATTGTAGAAATCTGTAATGATTTAAATATATGATGGATAGAAAAACAAAATGAGAGGTTTTGTTTTTTCATTAGCACTAGGCATTGTAAAATTGTTTATTGGATGGCTTCACTTCATACCAGTCACACTTTATCTTCCTGAAATTAAACTCTGTTCAAGATTCTTTGTGCTCTTTGCCAAAAGAACTTCATTGTGCAGCAAAACAAAAACCTTTCCTTAGGCGATTTGTGTTGTGTAATGCCAGAAGGTCCTTGCATCTGAACTCATACATTTCTGGAAGGATCCCTAACGCTACCATTTTCAAGGAGCACATTATCTTTCATAATATTTTAAAAGCATTGATATTCATAGCCTGTTTACCCAAGCCTTTTTAAAAATTAATAATGTTGGTGTTTTAAATGATGTGACTCAGGCATTTTTATTGTAGAAAATATGGAAAATGCAGTAAAGCATAAAGAAAAAACAAGTTCAGAAATAGTCACAGTTAATCTTTTTAGTTATTGTCCAGCAGTATTTGATTCTATTTAGGGGATTATATTTTCTGACAGATTTTTATATATTTTGTCCAAAAATCTACTAAAAGCAGCTCCCATGATATGTTGATAAAACAAACATAATGAAATTCCAGAATGAAAGAATATGCTGTGGTTTAGAGATATTTGAATAGATAATTATGGAAATAATTATAGTACTAATAGATCATAAAGTTGACACAAATGTAAGTTTCCTGCATTTAGAACTGTAACAACAAATGTACGGGAGGGTGATTGAGTTCTCCAAATGAATCTGATGATTTTTAGTGTTTCAAGTTCATTATAAAGATGGCAGGAGATTCTGTGCTGAATTTAAATATTATTCCAAAAGGTGACTATCTTAGGCTGCACACAGTGCGGGGTGTTCACAAATCATCCATATTTTTATAAAGCATAAAGTCATACAGCAGTAAGGAAAAGAGATTCTCATCAAAGATAATAGGGGTTGATTTCATCTTTTCCTGTTTGTTTTTTGAGTTATTTTGTTCCTATAACTTTATTTCTGGGTATCTTCATTATCTCTGACAAGGTCAGTGTCAGATAAACATATAAATTGAAGGGCATAGAAAGGCTTGCACTCACCTGTGAGCTCTCACACAGTCCCCTGGGAGTCCAGGAGACCCACCCACTTGCTTATGATTAAAGTGGTGGGATGGAAGCCCGTGCACCCAAAACCTGGGTCAGGTAATCATCATAATTGATGACAAATACAATAATTTTTGTCATTGGACATTTTTAATTTTATTAAAATTGCATCACAAAATGGGAGCATTATAAGGATATCAAGAAAAAGGGAGTCTTCTTGCACACCTGACCCGATGTGAGTTCCAGCCCACAGTGCATCTCGAATAGAACTTACTATTGTGATTAATGGATTATTTCCATGTATTGGAAGGTATTTCTGTATATATGTTTGTACAAATAGTATAGATTCTTAAGCAGCATGTTGATTATCTAAAACTAAAACTAAAACCTGAGTGCTTCCAAGGCCGAGCTTGGTATTCCTTAACTGTCACAACAAAGTGGTTTTGAAAAAAAATAAATTTTTTTGTATTAATTTGAA